TTAGTTTTACCACTGAAATAAACACATAGGAAAAAACAAGATAGTAATAATGTAACATAATTTTGCCACTTATTCTTTGGATAATCCAATCATCCAGACATCATCTTAATCATGGTTATAAATACATAATGTTAGTGTTAGAAAGAAAAAAAAGAAAACCAATGATGTTGACATTTTAGAAATAGCCATAAATATAGTAATAATTTTGAGATCGTTAGACGAATTTAAAATACATAAAATCATTATCAAATTTTTTATTAAGTGTGATTGGTCACATATTAAAATTTATCTTTTTAATAAAATCTTAAAATTAATTAAAATTTCTTAAAAAAATAATTTTTGAATCTACGAAAATAGTTTGAGTTTGGAGTATAATTACGTGTAAGAAAAAATTAACATTCTTACAGTGCCCGTTTTTAAAAATGGTACCACTTAACCATATTTTATCCTCTAATCTTGATAAAAGTGATTTTATCGTTGGTATTTAAAATTAATTTTTTTAATTTTTTTAATTATAATAAATATATATATTTTATTTTTTTAATTGTTTACTTGAAAAATAAATAAGAACCTTGTATATTGAAAAATCCCTAAAAATATTCTAATACTCTAACAATATTAAGAAAAATTTTCTTATCTAGGAATTTTTTAAAAATCATAAGACTTCCTAATAATCACATCATCAGCAGTTTATATTTATCTTTAATATTTATATGTACCATGCATATAGTAAAATATGATGTCTATAATTTAATCTAAATAATATTTTTTAAAAATTCATTTCTCATTCTATTTATCAAAAATTATTTTAAATACTCTAATACATTGACAGCATTTTAATAAATTTTCTCACTTAAATATTCTTAAAGAATTATTACTCGAACTTTTCTAAGATCTCATCATCAGAAAAATCTCCATTTAATATTTTAGAATTATTAATATTTCACCCTAAAAGCTATATAATAATATAATTATTCATGAATAAATTTATATTTTCACAATATATATTATAAATATTTTACATTTTTATCTATTTTAAGATAATTATTCCAATTAAGGAAAATAAATAAATAAATAAGAAATTTTGTTTTGAAAAAAATTTCTAAATATTTCAGTACTTTGATAATTTTTAGAATACTTTTTTCACTTAAAAAATTCTTAGAATCACTATTCGGACTTTCTAAAATCGTATTGTCAAAATTTCACGCTTTTTATTCAAGTATTTAATAATAGAAATCTTTACCAAAATAATAATAATAATAAATATTTATTTTCATGAGTATTATTAATTATTTCAAAGCATACATATGTTATGAATATACTATTAACATTAATAATACAAAAATATTTCATTGATAAGTCTAAAGTATATAAAAATTACCCAAACAAAATTTTATGTTGAAGACCAAGGTCATGTGCTCACTAAGCCCAAGCAAATAGAGTTCAACAACCTAAAAAGATCCAAGCTGGCTGGGCTACTAGAACGGGTCGTGGGCTACAGGTCCAAGTTAGATGAGTTACGGATGTAATAATCGAGTCAAGTCTAAACCAATCAACTCATTTCTTCTTCTTTTTTGTTATACTATTTTTCACTATAAAAACTGTGTTTTTTTTTTTGTTCATTCCAACATTTCTTTGAAAAAAAAAAAAGCAAACTTTCTCTAAATTCTTCAATACAAAAACTCAACCGTCATCGTCGTCGCTACCAACCACCTTTAACTCCTCCGATGCCGCCTAAGCTTTTCTCACTCCGTCATTCCTTTGTCGTGAACAATGGCACTGTTGAAGCTATCTGCCAATCTCTCTTACAACGTCGTCATCATAAGCTCACCACTGCCAACTGTGAGCTCCAGTTTCCCTTCTTTTTTTTTCCTCTCTTTCATGAACCTAGCCCTAAAATCTCCTAAAACAAACCCAACAAATCCCAGACTTTGTGTTGTTTGTTTTTGGTTTGATTTTTTTTTTATAGCTTTTGCTTGCTATTTGCTTGATCAAGGTTCCTTTTTCAATGAGGATTGTAGCTAATTTATGATGCTTTTTAGGTCTTGTTTTAGGAAAAAAATAAATTTTTTTAATACGACTTTCGATTTCAAAAAAACAAAAAGAGAATTTTTGTTAGTGGTATGGCTGGTTTAAATGGTAGTTGATTAAGGAAATAGTATGAGTTTCGACTCTTTAGGGTGATGATTGCTTTTTACTATTGAATTTGAGTTTTTTTCTAAGTTAGTTGGTATTTCAATAAGGCTATTTTGGTTTTGGCTATATGAGAAAATGATAGTGAAGTCTAATGATCTCGAGTGTTCGATCATGGAGGTAATGGGTTGTAGGGCTGTGATAAAGATGGTTTTCTTGGTTGGCAAAAAGGCTTTAGTGGTAATGGCCATCGAAAGAGGCCTAGGGCTTATGGTTTTAGTATGTGATTCAGTGGTGGGTATTGATAGAGGGTGGTTTGACATATTATGAGTGAAGCTTTTGGTGATGGGAGTTGTGGATGATGGGAATGACTGAGATTCTAGGCTAGGGTTGGTTATGGTTGATAAAGGTCAATGATGGTGGCTTAGTGGTAATGAGGGGTAATGAGGCCTTGCTAGGTAGGAGAGGTATCTAGGAAGGCCTAGGGATAATGGGGCTATTTTGTGATAATTTTTAGTGAGTGTCTTTGTTCCAATTTTTTTTTCTCTTTGAAATTTTCAATCCTTATTGAAACAAAAATGGAACCTTAAACTTGGTCTAAAGACTGGTTTTTTGGAGCACTTTTTTCTCCAAAAAAGCTTGTTGCATTTTGAGGGTTTGATGAATTCATGTTTGGAGTCAGCAATGGGTAAAACATCAAGTGAAAAATATAAAGCTAAAAATATAAAAGCAATTTGGGGAAGGAGAACTTAGGAAAGTTGGCTACAATGGTAGACCAGTTTTCAGTTTTTTTTTTTATTTTTTTAATTTAATTAAAATAATTAGTTTTAAATGAAATCAAGCTTTCAAAACTTAATTTGGTCTCACAAAAATTGCACTTAGGCTTTGAAAAAAATTGGTCCAAGTTTTAATTGGATTTGGCCTTAACTCAAGATTATGACTTTTAAACCCAAATGATTCAATTTTAAATTTTGTAAAAAAAAAAAAAAATGGTCCTATAAGATAAATCTAACTAAAATTCTCAAATAGCCCAAATCGAGACGTGTAAATTAAGAAAAAAGATTGAATCAACTTGACTCGATTCAGACAAAATTAAATGTTTACAATAAATAATTAAAAAAATCTATGTATATTTTATAAGGGAATGCCTAACTTAGGTGAATGTGCGGAATTTATACTAAAAATGATTAAATAAAAAGTTAATTTTTGATATACTATCAGTATAATTTTTTAATTTCACAAGTGATTTTAAGAGATTAACACATACCTCATTTCTATTTTTAATTATTTTTTATTTTTTAAATATATTTTAAAGGGTATGTATCATAATTATTAATTTCATTTTAGTATTGATTGTATTGGTTGGTACGCTCTAGTTATATTAAAATATGATAAACCTAAGAGTATTTTTGTTATATCGAATTTGATATTAAGTAATATTGATTGTTTTCATTGGTTTCAGCTGGTTTTGATGAATTTCGATAAATTAGTTTATTTTAGTCAATATGTAAATGTGAGACATATTTTGTAATTTTATTTTTTTTGTTATTTAACTATTTTTAACCTAATAAAAATAAAATTAATTGATAAAATAACCTTTAAAAGTTGAGTTTCTTTTTTTTTTTATTGTAACTTATTTTTTTTATACTTTATTTTTTCAAATTAAAGTTTATAAGTATTTTAATATCTTTCAAGAAAGTAGTTATACTCCTTTTCTAAAGTTTAATAATCGTGAAGCTAATGTTGATTTTTTCATCTCTTTATTTTTATTTTAATATTTATATAAAAAATACTTATTTAAAATTTATATTATCAGATTAAGTATTTAAAAATCTCATAAAAAATTTATGATATTATTTATATACTTTTAAACTTATTTATTTGATTTTTGAAAACATTGCATATTTATTTTGTAAATTATTAATAATATTATAATATACAAATTCATATATATATTTATTAATATATTTATACTAAATCAAAAAATCTAAAATAATATACCTAAACTACTAGTATCAGTATATACGATATAAAGAAAACTGAAATATTATCCAATACGACATTAATAACCTTAGTATGTATCATTCTTTTAATTATGTGTGTAAAATTTAGAAACTCCAGTGTCAATAAATTTGATAATTTCTCTTAAAAAAATTAAAATAAAAAATTAAAATTCATTACATAGATTTAAATATGTAAAATAAAAAAAATGTAATATATTTTTTAGAAATCATTTTTAATAAAAATTTTATCATTTTTTACCATTAAATAAATACTAATTAAATTAAAATTATAAAAATAAAATTTAATATTTTTTCCATATTATTAATCTCCTCATTGAATTTTATCAATTTATCAATTTTTATTAAAATTTTAATTAAATCATTATTAAAAATCTGTAAAATTTTCAACTAAAAAATTTTATTTAATTAATTTTTTTTCCATTTTATAGAAAGTGATAAAAATAAAATTCAAACGGAAAGATGACCCTTTAAACAATTTATAACAAAATGTTCATGGATCACTAAAATGGGCACGTGTCAGTCCAATATTGGTTCAAAGATAAAATTTCCATAAAAAAGATGAAGCCAAATCATGCACTGAAACAGCGAAGACTGACATTGTTAAATCGAAAAAATCACATGGTCCATCCATCACAAAAAGCATGCACGGCACAGCATCACCAGGCACACTCAGTCCTACGATGGAAACCAAAAGTCTACACATCACCACCACTCATCTCGAAAACTCATTTCTAAATGACGTCACTTGTTGATCTCAGAACCATCGATTCCTCGCCCCTTTTAAAAAATTTGTCGTTCTCCGTACAACATGACACCCAATTATTACCCCCACTACGGCCCCACCCCTTCTCTTTTTTTTGCCAACAACAATCCGTGGGTCCCAAAATCCCAAATTTCTCCAATAAAAAATCAAGCAAAGGAAGGTTGCTGCATTGTCTTTCTGTGTATGGTTTGATTGCTAAGAAAAGTATCAATCAAGAGAGAGAAAAAAAGGGAATTTGATTTTGATGATAAAATTCTGGGCAAAAAAAAAAAAAAGTTTTTGATGATAAACTGATGATGAGAATATTTTTATGAAATGGGGTTTTGAAATGGGATTATTGAGTTTGGATATCGCCGACGACAGCAATTGTTTCAAGAAGCTAATACCGTTGAAACGTCGTTGCTGTCGGTTGGGATCCAAGTTTATTGTTGGTAACGAGTCAATACCATCGGGGGAGTTCGCTTCTCCTTATTTGCGCTTATTCAAGCGCGCTTCATGACCATGACCCCTTGCCCTCAATTCTCTCTTGGATCTCGCTCGCAGGTCCACCGTCACTGCTATCGTCACGACAATCAAAATCAACTTACTAGCTTCCCTTTTTCTTGCCGATGGACCCCACTTCTCGCCCTGCTATCGTCATCGACAATGGCTCCGGGTACGGTTCATCTTGTCTTATCTCTAACTGAATGTAACTGAAAATCGATTGGTCACAATCTGTCTGATGAAATTCCCCACTTATATTTCATTTCAGACCCTTTTTTTTTTATTTTTAAATTGGTCCTTTTATTTTTTGCAGGTATACTAAGATGGGATTTGCGGGTAATGTAGAGCCTTGTTTTATTGAACCAACATTAGTGGCAGTTAACGAATCGTTTCTAAATCAATCCAGAACTTCTTCAAAATCAAATTGGTTAACTCAATATTCAGCTGGGGTAATGGCAGATCTTGATTTTTTCATTGGAGATGAAGCGCTCGCGAGATCGCGATCGAGTAATACTTATAACCTTACTTATCCCATTAGGCATGGTCAAGTGGATAACTGGGATGCTATGGAACGGTATTGGCAGCAATGTATATTCAATTATTTACGGTGTGATCCTGAGGATCATTACTTTTTGTTGACTGAGAGTCCACTTACTGCTCCTGAGAATCGAGAATATATGGGTGAAATTATGTTTGAGACGTTTAATGTTCCAGGGCTTTATATTGCTGTCAATTCTGTGCTTGCTTTAGCAGCTGGGTACACTACCTCTAAGGTTGGTGATTAATTTTCAAAAGTATTCTATTGTTCTCTGGTATTTTATCGCTTGGTTAGTTATTTATAGTATATTAGATGAATCCGTTTGGGTCCTTGATTCTCCATGATTGTTATTATTTATAATAAACTAAACCTTTTAACATTCAATTTGAGTGCTGGTGTTGGTTCTAGGATGGTTACATATTCAGCAGTCAAATAACTAGTTGATTTAAAGCCCATTTAGTGATTGACAAGTTATTGTAATATTAAGTATTACGTTATCACTGTCTGGGGAAAAAAAGGCTGAACTACCTTTTATTAATCTGATGTCTCAAGTTCTATATTGAATAGAGCTCAATGGTGTCATTGAATCTGATAATGTGTTATGAATAGACCCTGTTGGAGTAAATTTATAATCAGTGGTGTTTTGTAATGAATACTTACTGATTTATATCATTTTATCCAGTCTTTACATTTAAAATACACTAAGCTTGGAGGAGGCTGTTATGATCTTAAAAGTCTTTGTCAACTTACTCACATATTTCCACTTTTGTATTCAATTACATGTTAAGGAAGATGCTGCCTGCCATATTCTGTTTTGATGTGTTAAAATTTGTTTATTCTTTTTATCTTTAATTATCAGAGAGAATTGTGATCAAGGCATAGCTGTGGTATGTTGCTAATCACATGGGCATGGGGTATGTTGAATACTTCATCGTTGTAGAGTTTGAAGAATTGGTCTATCTTATATTAGCCTTATACGCTACATTATGTGCATTGTTTATCTTGCTAATCATCCTTAATATTGATCACTTCCATCTAGATTGACATACAGTTTTCCTTAGTGTGAGATGACAGGGGTGGTAGTGGATGTTGGAGATGGGGCTACGCATGTTGTACCAATGGCAGATGGTTATGTTATTGGTAGCAGTATTAAGTCAATACCAATAGCTGGAAAAGATGTTACTCTCTTCATACAGCAGCTCATGAGGGTATTTTTCTTTTCTTGACTCTCTACCCAATAACACTGGACTTTAAATACTGAATCTTCTAGTTTTCTTATTACGTGTGTGTGTATGTATCTTAGACTTGTGAATATGGAGATTGTAAAATAATTAGTACTTAGTAATCATGAACTCTTGCCTTTTTAACACCATTATTTGCAGGAAAGAGGAGAGAAAATTCCACCTGAAGACTCATTTGAAGCTGCTCGGAAAATAAAGGAGATGTACTGCTATACTTGTTCTGATATTGTCAAGGTTATTCTGATTCATTGGATTGTGATTTTGGAAATATTTTGACATGAGTATTCACCTCATGATTCTTATCCAGCATGAGATACTGTAATGAAGTTCACACTTGCTGATATTCCAATGGTAATTTGATAATAACTATTATTTGTAACTCTCTCAGGAGTTCAACAAGCATGACAAAGAACCTGAAAAGTTCATCAAACAATGGAGAGGTGTTAGACCAAAGACAGGGGCGCCATACTCCTGTGATATTGGTTATGAACGATTTTTAGGCCCTGAGGTTTGTCCTCTTTTTTCCTGCAAACTTGTTCCGTAAGCTTATGATTTCTGCAACTGTTGGCATTACTCCATACTTAGTAACTTTTTGTGGGTTGGGGTTAGCCTTGGATGATAAGTGCTAGACTAACATGTTTTTTTATAGAGAAATTTAAGGACCTCTGATTAACTAACTCTATCAAATGGCTAGTCTCTTGTCTTATGAAAATTTCCCTTATATTAATGTATATATTGATCTCATAGCATGCAAGTGATTGTTTTCTGGTTCATCAGGATCTAATTACTAAGATGTTTTGATCATCCTTTTCCTTATTTTCTATAATCAATCTATGTTCTCTCTAGAGTCTTGGTTGCCTTGCAGCTACCAATAATGCAGACTCTTTATTTATCAAAAAACACATTCCGCATTCCTCCTGTCCTTTCTCTTACCCTCTTATCCTAAAAATCTCCCTTTAATGTGAAAGAATATAGACTATGCCCTAACCATGATCTTGCCAACAACATGTTGGTGTAGACCAACTACAACAAATTATATTTTCTTGAATAATGAATGTTAACTTGCGTCAATAGAAATGTAATTGTAGCATATGATGATGGTTATGTAAGTTGTTCTGGATTTCTCAATGCCGTTTATGGTTCTTAATGGCATGCTTTGGCATTTTCCTACTTTGGTGATGTAACTAGGTAGTTGATGGTACTCTTTGTTTTTCAGGAAATGAAACATTGGTTAACTTTGCTGCTTATAAATTGCTTTCTGAATATTGGTTGTTGCTTATGTTTTTGTAATGGTTGGTTTGACAGGTTTTCTTTAGTCCTGAGATCTATAGCAGTGATTTTGCAACTCCTTTACCAGCTGTGATCGATAAGTGCATTCAGTCAGCACCAATTGATACTAGAAGAGCTTTGTATAAGGTGAAGTATGCATAGGCTCAAAAGAAAAGAAAAAAAAAGCAGATTGCAAAATTTGGTTCCTAACAAAGATAAGTCTAAATGAAACAACAAGAAAGTGTTATATTTGAAGGTTGAGATGTGATGATTAAGGATTGAACTGGTAGTCATGCACTTTGCTTCTTGATGGGTTCTTAAATCAACTGTTGGTTTTTAATTTAATTTTTCAAGGATGAAGTTCTTGGAAATTTGGGTTATTTTACTTTGAACTCTTGCAGCAATTCCTCTTCTTTTGTATTATGAGTTGAATAAATTTGTTTTCTCAAACCTAGTCTGGTACTAATCTATAATATTTAAAGTCATAGCTGTTTTATTCCTATTATTTTACCACAAAAAATAGATTCTTAACCTAGTTGCAAGATATTGGTATTTGGCTTTGTTGATTGCTGGTTACATTCTTGATAATGACCAAAATGCAAACGAAGCTTGCAGTTAAATACATAGACCATTGAATGAATTTAGAAGAGAAAAAAGAAATGTTCACATGTTTCGATATAAGAATTTTTTACACTCTTTACTCACTGTTTTAACTCTTTTCAGAATATAGTGTTATCTGGTGGATCAACTATGTTCAAAGACTTCCACAGAAGGTTGCAGCGGGATCTGAAAAAGATTGTGGATGCCCGAGTTCTTGCATCTGATGCTCGGCTTGGTGGAGAAGTAAAAGTAAGGATTTTAGTGCTTAACTTGTGTTTTCATTCCATCAACATTTTACAATAGCTAAGTGCTAATCTTGTGCTGGGGATTCACCTTCCAGGCACAACCTGTGGAAGTTAATGTAGTCAGTCATCCTATCCAAAGATTTGCAGTTTGGTTTGGAGGTTCTGTACTTGCATCAACACCTGAATTTTTTGCGGTATGATTCTCCACTTCTAAACTCATCTTCCACTATTGTTTCTACACAGGCCGCTGATTGGCATTGAATTTGGCATCTATTGTTGGCCACTACTCTTGCTTTGGTTGATATGTCAATTGTATGATGCTTTTGCCATTACTGTTGCCTTGTGCATCTATCTTAATCTTAATCACTGAAATTTGGATTTAGCAAGTCTTATGACATCCTCCATGTGCAGGCATGTCATACAAAAGCAGAATATGAGGAATATGGGGCAAGCATTTGCCGCACAAATCCTGTTTTTAAGGGGATGTATTGAGGCACATATCGATTTTTGAGCTGATTATTGAAAAGGCATTCTCTGATGATGCTCAAGCGGGTGACTTGCTATTTCCACTTCCATCGTGCACATCAATTTACTTCGCTTCTTTTTTACTTGGTGCTCATGTGTATTGGTTGTAAGAGGTGGTGTAAAACATGGTAGCCAGTCTCAATTGCAATGGTTTAAAAAAGGAAAGTTATTCCATTCATTCTTTAATTAGAATTTAAGTGTCCTCAGAGCAGCCTATGGAATGCAGTTAAATTTGCCAGCAGGCCCTGCCGACACTTATGGATCAGATGGAGAATCAAAAAGTTGAAACAAATCTTCTTAGCTGAATTACATTTTCAGTGTGCAGGTTACTTACGATGTGATAGGGATTTTACGTAAGTTTTTTTCTCATCTTGGGGTGGTCAGAGTAGGGTGGTTGGTTAAGTTTTGGTGGGAGCACAGCAAATCCGGTGATGATTCTGTACCTCTGTTCCACCAGTACATTTTCTGTTAGAAAGCAAGATTGGAGTACTAATTTTGAGTTAGAAATTTTGTTTATATGACATTTTGTAGTTGGTATTAATCTTTTCTGTAAAATTGATCAAAAGTTAGCAAATTTTCAGATATGGGTTGGTTGTAATTGGTACATTTTCCAAAATCATGATTTTTTTTTTTATTGGGATTTATTCTTTCTTTATTGTTCGGATATTAATTATCGAAGTTACTGACATTTTGCTAGGCCTATGGGAGAGTAACATTTGAGTACTGAGTAGTATATGACAGTGCTGCTTGCTTTGCTTATATTGCTAGACATGGGATTGTAGCCTGCAGTATGATTATGTTGACAGGAAAGCTTGTTTTATTCTAGTATTTTCGATCACTTCAATGTACTTTGTTTTCTTGTTTCTCTTTCGGAGCATCAAGGGGTGAAAGGTGGCATGACGGTTTGGCCAAGTGAAATTTCAGCAGCTTGGCCGCATCATGTCAATCACTCGAGGTCAAAGGGAAAATAAGTGTTGGTTTTAGCCCCCTTTTCTTTTGATTTCACCGGTTCCTCTATCAATGCAGCGATTAAAGTGTCATGAAGTCAACTATCAATTCTCATATGACTTCTTTGTACACCGTAATGATACCAAGTATTGCCTACTTTCTTTGTTTATAATGATTAAATAAATTAAATAAAGAATGTATCTTTAATCTTTACTTTTTTTTTTTTTTTCAAGGGATAGAGTCCTACTTTAAGAGAGGGAGAGAAAGTTGGGATCGAACTTCAATCTTATATTTTTTTAAAATTTTTTTAATCATTAAATTAAAAAATTAAAAGATAATTTTTTTTATTTTAAAAATAAACATAAAAAAATGTAACATTCTTTTTTTGGTGTGAAAACCATGTGCTTAGAAACTGAAATCTAATAGTAAAAAAATAGCCATTAAGATGTTTAAAGTGAAGAATTTTTTAAAGTTGGTCACAAATACAAATACAAATACAAATAAAAAAAAAAAATTTTCTAGTCTACTTCCTCTATAACAGGAAAATTTTAGTTAAAATGACCAACAAGTGATGCAAATATTTCCAAAACAAAAAGAAACAGATAAAAACTAACTTTAGTTGGATAAGTTCCCTAATAAATTTTGAAAAAAAAAATCATTTAATTTGTCAAAAAAAAAAAGAATAATGAAAAGAGCATCAAATTAAGATTTTGGGATATACTCCAATATTTAAATAAATAATTATACAAAAAAAAAAAGGAGGTGACAAAAGTAAAAAAGAAAACTAACAACAAGAATAAGATTAATCTTTCCTTTTAGTCTTTTACTTTTATAATTTTTATATACAAAGGTATAATTACATGTTTCGAATTACCTGATGTACACAAATAACATTTATTTGAGCGTACCTTTCTTACTGGCTCAGACCCTTTTTCTTACTGGCTCATGAACTTTGACCTTATTTTGGATCTTTTAACATCGGAGCATTGCTCCTAGCAAATGCAGGTTGAAATTACTGTACTATTGCACGTATAAAAAATACACTTTAATTAAACAAGAAATAAAAAAAGAGGTACTAATAAATAGGGATACTACGAGTAGTAATAAAAAAGTTTGGGAGATAGAGGAAAGGGTAAACTCATCTTTCTTGTCTGTCTGACCCAGGGCGAGCTACAGAGCCGAGGCCAAAGCAGAAGAAAAGCAAATAGTAAGATAAATAAAACATTTAAATTATAATAATATTAATAAATCTAAAGCTCTCATATTCTGATTTTTCATTCCTTATTAGAGAATCTTGCTTTCCTCTACTATATTTATAAACTCTGGATTTCTTTGTTTCTCTTTTGCTGCAATGCTTCATAGTTGACTGCTACTGGTTGGTCTTCTTAATTTTTCATTTCCCTTTACTGATTTTATTTTATATATAATTGTTTCCCTTTTTGGTGTTCTATCATGGTTGGTTCCTTTGATTTTGAGAACTGGGTAATTGAAATTTATCTGTTTTATGATATTCTACGACTTGGGTGTTTGGGTTTTTTTTCTGGATTTATCAAGTTGGGTGTTTTTGATTTACCTCCTGCTGCTTCTTTGGTTTCTATGATTTGATGAAGTAGGTGGGGCTTGTAGCTGTATATTTTGATAAAATATGTGGGTAAAGTTTACGTACTGTTGCCTTTTATGTCATGTTTATTATGGGAATTTTAATTCTTTGTTTTGATCTCTGGCTGCTAGATCTCTCTCTATTTGCATCTCTGTGCTGTTTTTCTTTTGCTATGAGTTTAATTACTTTGATTTCCTTGTTTTTGATGTGCTTAAGATCTATGGTTAGTGTAAATATGCTACTAAAATGATCCTTACTTTGAGTTGGATGTTTTTCCATTTCATTTCATTTTTACTGGATTGCTTGCATTCTCGACATAATTTATATAGATTTACAGTTACATTTTTCTTCGTGGCGCCTTTGTTTTATAAGATTGGAGTTAGGAATATCTTTTTGACTTTAGGCATGTATTAGTCAGGAAATATGGATGCAATGGCTGAAGAACAAATAGATTTCGGAGATGAGGAGTATGGAGGGGCACAAAAGACACAGTATCAAGGTAGTGGAGCCATACCTGCTCTTGCAGATGAAGAGATAATTGGGGAGGATGATGAATATGATGATCTCTATAATGATGTTAATGTTGGGGAAGGTTTTCTTCAGTTGCAACAATCTGAAGCTCCACCGCAACCGGGTGGCATGGGCAGTACTGGACTTCAAGCTCATAAAAATGAGGCTCCTGAATCAAGAGGTGAAGCTGGGGGTTCACAAGGGCCAAACATCCCCGGAATTTCAGTTCATGGGAAGTACCCCAATGTTAGTGGCCGATTTCCTGAGCAGGAGGGACAACCAGCTGTTAACAGACCAGAGAGAGGATCCGGGAGTTATCCATCCGGGTCTACTAATTCACAAAGGGGCAGTGTTATGGACGTGACTGTTGATACCCAAGTTAAAAATATGGGTTTTCAAGTATTAACTTCAGCATCCCAGAAGGTTGGGGTTGATCCTTCTGGTGTGCCTCAAAAGATTGCCAATGACCCTGCTCAATCTCTAAATTCAGGTACTGGTGGTCCTCAAGGTGCTTCACAGGTTGCACCTAATCTAACGGGTATGAATGTCAATCATCCTGTGATGAATGAAAATCAGGTTCGGCCATCTATGGAGAATGGTCCAACCACGCTGTTTGTTGGAGAGTTACATTGGTGGACAACTGATGCTGAGCTTGAGACCGTTTTATCTCAATATGGAAGGGTGAAGGAGATTAAGTTCTTTGATGAGAGAGCTAGTGGTAAATCAAAAGGGTATTGTCAAGTTGAGTTCTATGATTCAGCATCTGCGGCTGCATGCAATGAGGGAATGAATGGTTGTATCTTCAATGGGCGAGCTTGTGTTGTGACTTTTGCTTCACCACAGACATTGAAGCAGATGGGAGCTTCTCATATGAACAAAAACCAGGGCCAGCCACAAGCACAGCCTCAAGGAAGGAGGCCAAATGATGGTTTTGGGAGAGGTGGTAATATGAATTACCAAAGTGGGGATGGAGGAAGGAACTATGGAAGGGGTGGCTGGGGAAGGGGTGGTCAAGGAGTAGTCAACCGAGCTGGGGGTGGAGGACCAATAAGAGGAAGGGGAGCTATAGGTGTAAAGAACATGGTTGGGAGTTCTCCTGGAGTTGGAAATGGTGCTAATGGTGCAGGGGCCTATGGACAAGGACCAGCAGGTCCTGCATTTGGTGGTCCTGCTGGTGGAATGATGCATCCACAGGGCATGATGGGTGTTGGGTTTGATCCAACATATATGGGTCGAGGAGGTGGTTATGGAGGTTTTCCAGGACCTGGTTTTCCTGGCATGCTTCCTTCATTTCCAGCTGTTAATACAATGGGACTTGCTGGTGTAGCTCCTCATGTCAATCCTGCTTTCTTTGCCCGTGGAATGGCACCTAATGGGATGGGAATGATGGGCTCATCTGGAATGGATGGACCTCACACGGGACTGTGGACTGACACAAGCATGGGTGGGTGGGGAGGAGATGAACATGGTCATAGGACTAGAGAGTCTAGTTATGGTGGTGAAGATGGTGCTTCAGAGTATGGGTACGGGGATGCGAATCATGAAAAAGGAAGATCGAGCGGTGCCTCTCGGGAAAAAGAGCGGGTTTCTGATCGTGAGTGGTCTGGCAACTCTGATAGGAGGCATCGTGATGAGAAGGAACGGGATTGGGACAGGTCTGAGAGGGAGCATAGGGAACACCGTTATAGGGAAGAGAAAGACAGCTACAGAGAGCATCGACATCGAGAACGTGACTTGGATTATGATGATGACTGGGATAGAGGACAATCTTCTTCAAGATCTCGGACCAGGTCCCATGCAATGCCAGAAGAAGAGCGCAGGTCTCGATCGAGGGATGTGGATTATGGGAAGAAGAGACGCTTACCATCAGAGTGACAAAATATGCTGTTGCATGCTTCTTTACTGTTTCTTATGAAACCTTTAATTAAGTTTTCACTCTCAGTTTCTCTCCCCTTGGTTGCCATAATCATTTCAGCATTCTCTATGATGATCCTTGGTCCATGTGCAGAGTGTGGCTTCTTAAGGGAAGAAGTAAGTGCTACTTATATGGGTGGTGGGAAAGAATAGACTCCCTTTTCCTTTCTTACTGCATTCTAAAGAACAAATATTAGATGAAACACTTAATATTTGTTTGTTGGAACTTGGAAAACATAGTATTTTATTCAATGTGGATATTCTTTGTGGGGTTGGAATCCTAACATCCTACAAGCTGAATATCAACATTGGTTTTATAATTATCTGCCAAACTCTATATTCAGGGGAATGCTTTCTTGGCATGTGATCATGATACTTAGAAAATCTTCTTGTTCATATGATTGTTGGGATTTATACATTAGAAATCTTGTTGTTATATGTTTGTGATCTTGGTTGATAAGAAATCTTTATAGCTTGTTATCTTTTCGTACATCTTTTTATGGGGGTTAGAAATGGGCAGGTTTGAAGGTCAGGAAGTTTGCTTGGCTTGAACCTTTAGACATTGCTAGATGATGAATAGGATGGTGTGAGAATGAAAATCATCTCTTTTTTTTTCTCACTCTTATCTTGCTGCTTCAATCTTGTATTATGATGTTCTCTGGCTGCTTTCTTCCTTGCTTTGTTTTTTACTTCTTCTTTTTCTATATGCATACACCACTTGCTTTTCAATTGAGGATCACTTTTATATTTTAATAATGCATTTAGCTGAATATCATGATACATGTCATACATTATCAAAATCATTGTATGATTTTTCCTTTACCTCTTTCAAATGTTTGAAACTTGACTTTTGATAGGTTGTGCTATATGTTAGAGAGTGTTACTTCTTTCCTATACCTGAGTCATTCGGTTGACTTTACCTCCATCTACTATCTTTTTTTTTTTTTTGTTAATCCTACAATTCAAATGTGCCTTTTGTTTTCTAAATAATGGTATTGTGCCAGTTGTAAGGAGCCAGTATTATTTGCCTTGCTCTATGGCTTGCTTCCAGGCTTCTAGGTTCTCTTTCTTAGGTTTTAACAGAGAGTTAGCTGGTCTGTGATAAAGGTTGCAATCTTGTCTCGTGGATGTTTGTGAATGTTCAACTGAAAAGACATTGTGTTAAAGCACTAATAGAATGGAGAGTTGCCTAGAATACCTTTTTCTTTCTTTCTCCTCTGATGGTGCTAACCCTTTTTTTCTTCTCAATCTTTTCCTTTTTTGTCATTCTTTTGTTTCATAATCTTTCTCCTAGTGGCATCACTGACAAAGTGTTCTGAAGTTTTGAACTGTATGACAGTTGAAACCTTGAAGTTATCCTCTGAAACAGAATTGGTTTTAAAACAACATTTTATGTAGAATGCTTTAATTTCCAGTTTTAGTGCCCAATTGCTAAAGAGGTTCTACATACTCTTATTCAATGTGAGCCTGAATATGCCTATGTGCTCATCATCTAGCCCAATTGGTTGTCTCATAGAGACGAGTGTCTTAGCTATAGGACTACTAGTATCATTGGGCTTTATTTACTAATAAAATATTATGTGATGTTCTTCTAACATACTGTCAATGGGTGATTTGGGTAGATAGTGGGGTGGTGTCTCTTGCTTTTTCCTTTTTCTTCTTTCCTCTGCAATGTCTATTGACATAGGGGTTTCTTTTTATCATCACATCCAGGGAGTGGAATGGGCAACTCTTTGTTGAGGAAGATGTGTTAGAATGGCTGGCTTCATTGGCTTCCTCTGATATTTGATTTGGCCTTTCAAGTGTGCAAAAAAAATCTTTTTTTGAGCACTGCTAAGAAACTGTAACCTCTGGAAAGAAAGTAAATCCAACTGAATTCATGAACTGTATGTTGGTGATATGTTTCAGGATACAACCACCACTTACATTACAGTCTTCCTGTAAACCATTTCTTTTTGTCTTGTAAAGTTAAATCTGTTTATTCAGTCCAAAACTTGTAATGGCCTCTTTCATTGTTTATATGACCATTTTTGGCTTTTTAATTAGCTTTATAGGAGTTTTGTACAGAGATTGAGGCCAACACTTGTTCATACTATATACACTTGTAATTGATATGTTAACTTTGTCTTAGAATAGGCATAGATGAGCTAGATGCAAATTGTAACATGGGGTTGCTGATCCAATTGTAACTGTCAATGTAACATATGTACTCCCCAGTTTCTGTTTAAGCATTTTATTTTCATCAAATTGTGAAGGGTTCTGGAGTTTTTTGTTCATATACTTAAGCTTAGAAGTCACAATTTATGGTTTGCTGCTGCATTCTGTATGTGCTGGGCAGAGGGTTTCGGGTTGATTTGGGTTCTGTATCGTGGTCGTGGCTGATGATGTTTTACTCATATTTATGTTGGAGTTAAGCTTGGGAAGGCCTTTTTAAGGTATTATTGTAATGATTATCTCTTGTATAGATCATTTTTTCGGTCTTTTCCCTTTTTAAGAAAGCCGATGTAGCATACAATGTGTAGTAGATCTAGTGGCTTTTATCCATGTTTATACCATTTGTATTGAGGAGCAACAACTCATTCTTAAGGTGCTTTTAGCCAGTTAAGCGCCATTACTCATGATGATTGGTGGCAATGGTCTAGTAAGGAAGGCTGTAAAAGGTTTCAATTCATTGTCTGTTGGCAACTTCAGAATGTGGTCTCTTCATGTGTTTATTCATGTATTTGTTTATATTATTTAGTCACTATTGTATGCATGATTTCTATTCTTGTAAGTTAATGCATTTGGTGTTATTGTCATGGGAAATTGGGTTTTTAATTGTATATGATTTTGAGATAAAAATCTGTCTTTTAGAAGATAAGGAGGGTGTAAATCCTTGTAATTGGTTCTTTTGTACTTGTTGAAGACTACTGTGCTGCTCCACCCTGTCCTTGGTGATTTTGATTTAAGTTTCTGCTCCCTTCTTTTGTTCTACATGATGTTTGAATTTCAACCATAACTAGCTCTCATTAAATTTAGATTGCATGGAGAATAGACAAGGATTTCATTATCTAGATTGTCCAATTCATCAAATATATACATATATCATCATCATCGAGATTTTTTCTTTTGGTACAAAGGGATCATAGCTAAGAGATAAAAGGGTTGGAAATGTCCGGAGTTGAATTCAAACTTGTTGAATGTCCTTTCCAAAAGTAGTATGAATCAATAGAGTTAAATTTTAAATTTTTTATTGAGATTTATAATTCGATAATTAGTATTACAAATTTTGATGTGCGTTATATTTGGATACAAGAAAATCACAAGTAGATTGCACCATCCACAGTATTTCTAAAAGCATTTCTCTTGCTATTGTTTGCATACCATGTTGATGCAATCTACAAAGGGGTCTTTGCTTGTGTCGATTCTGGAATGATTGAAACAGAATGCCTATGGTTTCTCAGCCCCTCCCATTTCTTTATTCATAAACAAATTCAACCAGGCCTTAGCAAGCCTCAAATGTAAACAAACAAATATAATTTATAAGACAGCTTTTCGTAGACCAAAACCAGAAAAGCTGCAGCATGACGCGAAACTAATTTAGAAAACAAAGTAGCCAGCAACGGCTGCAGCTCCAGCTACAGCAGAGACTCCAAGGGTGGTTGCACCACTGCTAGGAGCCTGACCAGTCCCTGCAGCACTGTTAGCTGTAGCCTCGCTGCCAACAGGGCCTTCAACAGCAGCACCATCATCACCACCAGTGCTATTCGATGGTGCACCTGCTTCATCAGTGTTGCCGATGACATCATCATCATGGCTGTTCGGGGAGGATGCAGTAGTACTGGTGCTCTTAGGAGTAGCGTTGGCAGACGCAGCATTGTCTGCGGAAACCAACCCGACAAGGGCAATTAAGACCAAAGCAAGAACAACGATTTGGCGTGCCATTTTCTTCGTTCCGTAGGGTTTCTTCGCGATGTTACGAAAGAGAAGAAGAAGAAATAATTAAAAAAGATGGTGATCGAGAAATGCAGCTGTCCTCTAAGGTTTGATTAACAATAGAGACACACTGCACAACAGAGGAGGGAGGGGGTACAGATTTATATAGCGTTTAAATTTGGAGAAGAATGGGAAATGGCTTCAGCGTAATGCACGGGTTCAACACTTTTGCGGGGACTCCGGAAAACCATGCACATTCATGCAGCAGAGGAAAGGACGTTGTTTCTTCATTCCCGTGAAATCATGGGGAGATCATAAATTTGGCTAATGCTATGCTTTCCTTTCATGGTCCAGTTAGTTTATCCAAAACTTGGAAGGGGTCTTAAGTCCTGTGCTTATGAATTTTAAGTTTTTTTTTTAGTTTAATGATAAAATTTTTACCACATCAAAAGCTGTGTTTTATTACTAAACCTCCAATTGAACTTCCAAATGACCCTAATTCTATAAATTAAAAAAAAAATACTATATAAATTCATCAATTAAAATTATTAAATCAAATATTAAAATTAGTAAACAATAATTTCACACGTATCTTGTAAGTGTTTTGTCATATTTAACATAGAGTTTATTTATGTGCCTATAATTTAATTAATTTAAATTATTTCTAACAACTTTATGATTATATATGTAATCAATTAATTAATTAATTAGTGAACTTGGTTTGATTGCACATTATTATAATATTTTAGGGGGGGGGGAATTGCAAAAAAAAGCTCTTAGTTAGGTCAAATCTTAATGGGCCATGAAGACTTTTTCAGTGACAAAGGGGCCTAAAGGTGGTAGGCCCAAAAATCAGGCGGAGGAAACGGTGTGAAGTTACCCAAAAAAAAAAAAAAAACAGCTCTTTGGGCTTTGAAAACAAAGTGAAAACGGAAAGCGAACAACAGTTCGCTAAAAAACTTTCCACACTCTTCTTGTAACTCTTCAAAGGGAATGAAAAACTAAAGAAGAAGAGAAGAGAAGAGAAGAGAGGAGAAGAGGAGTAGATCGGCGACGAAACAGTAAAACTCGGAGAAAATGGCATTGGCTTTCGACGAGTTCGGTAGGCCATTCATTATAATAAAAGAGCAAGAGCAGAAAACGAGGCTGAGAGGGATCGAAGCCCAAAAGGCCAACATTTCCGCTGGCAAAGCGGTTGCGCGGATCCTCCGAACCTCACTTGGACCCAAGGGCATGGATAAGATTCTCCAAAGCCCCGACGCCGATGTCACCATCAGTTAACTCATTTACACCTCTTTTTTTTTTTTTTTTCTAATTTTTTGCTTGATCTTTAAGTTCCTGGTTAAGGATATGTTTGACTTGGAGTTTCGAAATGAGAAGTTAGTTAGAGTAAGATATTTGTGAAGATAAATGTAGGTTTTATTGTTAATTTCAGGATTTATGGTTACTCTGTCAAACTTACTAGTTTTTCAACTGGAAACTTTGGTTTAGGTAAAATTTTTCTGACTTAATGTTTCAGGAAAAAGCTTCTTGAAATTTATATTTCTGTACTTTGATTTGTTAGTGGGATTATACACTAGATCGTGTTCAAAGTTTCCTGACGTGTTTTTTTGGATGTTGTCAGCAAATGATGGGGCGACAATATTGGAGCAGATGGATGTTGACAATCAAATTGCCAAATTGATGGTTGAACTGTCCCGAAGTCAGGATTATGAAATTGGTGATGGGACGACTGGTGTTGTTGTCATGGCTGGAGCACTTCTAGAGCAGGCTGAGTGGCTATTAGAACGTGGGATTCATCCCATCCGGATCGCAGAGGGTTATGAAATGGCTTCTAGAATAGCTGTTGAGCATTTGGAGCGTATAGCTCGGACGTTTGATTTTGGGCCAACAAATATAGAGCCTTTGGTTCAAACTTGCATGACCACTTTGTCCTCGAAAATGTAAGTTTCCTAGCTCTTTTTCCTGTTATATTGCTTTACTTTACAATTTCTTTTGCCCTCAGCGATGTTCAGATCACAACAATTCATTACTAGGAACATTCATGTTGTAACTATAACATGCATTATACTACCTTCATATGTTGTCATGGCTAAATTTTTTCTTGCATTTTGCTTTGCTATAAGGAAAATTATGTCTAATTTGTTCCAAGATAGTGCTTTTTTTTGTGAAGGTGAATTCATATGTATCTGTCATCTATCCTACTTGTTTGCTAATTGTGATGTCCTATCTCTACCGCTAGAATTTGCCACATTAGGTTACAAGACATGGTTGCTTTGTGTTGCTCTCAGTATGACGTTAAATACAATTAATTGGTTTTATATTTTTCTTCTCGTATAGTAGTCTGCAATTAAAGGTTCTCCTAAAGATGATGCTTTGATCAGTTCAAGGTGCCATTAAGCCTCACTTTAGCTCATTGTGTCTATTAAATAGATGGCCGGTGGTAGTGTCATCTTGTTTGGCAAGAACACTGGGTCTAAAAGTTAGTTCAACTCCCTATCTTGCAAGGATATTGGTTAATCTTGATTGGTAATCCTTTTCGGTACAGCTTCCCCTTAAATTTTTTTGAGTGGTCCTCATATTAAATCTTGATGTTGACTTGTTGTGATGTTTGCAAAATAGAAATAGCCATGGCTGTTTTAGCTGTGATTAGGGTGTTTGTGGTGGAGTGTTGAACCATCTGAATTAGTGGCACCTGGCTCAATTCAAATAGCTCTTGCCATCAGTAGCAATTCATTAACTTGTTAGTATTGAGAAGTGAGATTCCTGATATTGGGATTCAAGGCAAAATTTGAGAGTGATAAATTTGTGAATGCAATGCTAAACTGATGTACGTTGTATATTTTGTGTCTTATGAAGTTGTAACCATTTTTCATTTTTTTGCAGTGTGAACCGATGCAAGCGCCTTTTTGCTGAGATTTCTGTTAAAGCAGTTCTTTCTGTTGCTGATCTAGAGAGGAAAGATGTCAATTTAGATCTGATTAAGGTTGAGGGGAAAGTTGGGGGAAAATTGGAAGATACTGAGCTAATATATGGTATCACTGTTGACAAGGACATGAGTCATCCGCAGATGCCAAAGCAAATTGAAGATGCAAAAATTGCCATATTAACTTGCCCATTTGAGCCACCTAAGCCAAAGACCAAACATAAGGTAGAGATTGATACTGTGGAAAAGTTTCAGACTTTGCGTCTGCAAGAACAAAAATATTTTGATGACATGGTTCAGAAGTGCAAGGTATGCTGCAGATTGGAGTTCGGAGGAATTTCTTTTTCAATTTTCAGTTGATCTATTACATTCTGTCTTGCTTTGGATTATTCTCTTTGGGGAGAGAGGGGTATGGGGTGGACTATTGTTACAGTCATGTATGCAATTTTGGGGTAGACAACTTGTCTGATAGTAACGATGTTGCAGGATGTTGGTGCCACCTTGGTTATTTGTCAATGGGGTTTTGATGATGAGGCAAATCATTTATTAATGCACCATAACTTGCCTGCTGTCAGATGGGTTGGTGGTGTGGAGTTGGAGCTCATAGCAATAGCTACAGGTTTATTTTCATTGAAGACATGCTAGCCAAATTCATGATAGATAGCTATTTAGCTGCTGATATATAGTGTGCAATGTTATCGGCAATCTAATTATATTTATCTTCGTAGGTGGAAGGATTGTGCCAAGGTTTCAGGAGCTGACCCCTGAAAAGCTGGGAAGGGTATATTTTGCTCCATTCTTTATTGTCTACATTGCATTGCTTAGAAATAAGTGCTAGATAAATTCCTCTGTTGGAAATTTTTTATGCATTAGATAGAGGACAACTGGTGAAGCTTAAGTGAGATGATTCTATATTTGATGACTTTTAGTTTAAGCAAGCACTAAAGCATTGCTCATTTAAACTAGCAATGCATGTTTGATGAATTTTTTACATTTAATATCTCAGATTAATCCCCTGGCATTGCATCTGTATCTTACAGGAAACACTTATTTGGTTTTTCGTTTGATTCTTTTAGGCTGGTTTGGTCAGAGAGAAGTCTTTTGGCACCACAAAAGATAAAATGTTGTACATTGAGCACTGTGCAAATTCAAGGGCTGTAACCATATTTATTCGTGGAGGTAGATTCTTTCCCCTTGTTCTATTTGGTTGCAATTGAGTTGTGGTTTATTGCATTATGTTCAATTGATAATAAGGAGGCATCTTTATTCAGTCATCAGGTGGTACATATTGAGAATACGAGGGCATGTAATTGTGATTTGATTTTGTATCTTGGCTTACTTGGTCCACTATGTGAATTGATGGTGTTTTTAATTTCCTGTTCCTAAATTGTTGGTTATAAAATATACCGCCTAGTCCAAGTGGTAGAGGCTTATTGGTATCTTCTTGGAGATAGTTTTGGAGCAGAGCTGTTTTTACCGGCAAACTTAAAATTCAATAAATAAATAGGAAAATGACATGGTTGAAGAGAATATTAGGATAAAACTTACAAGACACTTTGACACATACCAAATCATTTCTTGCTTCCATTATCTTAGAGTGCAATCTGTTGCAGTCTTGATTTTAGATGTTTGGACACCTTTATTCCCAGTCAATGCAGAACTGGTTGGCCGTTTATATATTTTATTATAACACACAGCTAGGCAAGGTTTTGCTCTTACACTGTATGATATTGTAGAGAGCTAACAGTAACAGAATGTAGAATATTCCAAAGTGTAATGCACTAAGATGAATTGAGAGGATTAGGCATATAAATCTCATAGAAGGTTTCCTTTGTGTTTGATGATGCGTTAGGAAACAAGATGGTGATAGAGGAGACAAAGCGCAGCATCCATGATGCATTGTGTGTGGCCAGGAATCTCATTCGCAACAATTCTATTGTCTATGGTGGTGGCTCAGCTGAGATTTCTTGCTCAATTGCTGTAGAGGCTGCTGCAGATAAATATCCAGGAGTTGAGCAGGTAAAAGAAGCACATCTAATCATCTAAATATTATGGTATTCCTTTATGTTAGAGTAATTATATTGTATCAATTTTCTTTTATCTGCAGTATGCAATCCGGGCATTTGCTGATGCTTTAGATTCTGTCCCTATGGCCCTGGCTGAGAATAGTGGGCTTCAACCCATTGAAACGCTATCTGCAGTGAAATCTCAGCAAATTAAGGTAATTACTTGTAATTAGTATGATGAACATTTTGATCTTGGTGTAATCTCACCAGCCTGGAGTTATTATTGATAATTTATTTTTATATCCAATATGCAGGATAATAATCCTTACTTTGGAATAGACTGCAATGACGTTGGGACTAACGATATGCGCGAGCAAAACGTATTTGAGACACTGATAGGGAAGCAGCAGCAGATCTTGCTGGCAACACAAGTTGTTAAGATGATTTTGAAAATTGATGATGTCATTTCCCCATCTGATTACTGAGGTAGAAATTGAACTTTTTCACCCGGAGGTAGCCTTATTTTGATGGTTTTGTATGGTTCGCTTTGGAACCGTGAGTTCACTTGAGAGACACTCGTTTTGCTTATAATTTTTAAACTCCCACTCCCTTGATTGATTAGTAGAATGATCACACTTGTTGATGTGTTTTTCTTACGTCTTTGTCTAGTTACTTTTGGGTCACCTACGGATTCTTTGGTAGTATTTCCCATGGATGTAAAAATGCTGAACTGGTGGTTAAATGTGTAATTTTGTGTGATCGGCATTCACAATTTTGTTTGCTTTAATATATCATCTCGCTAGGTTTTGTTTATATCTTATTGGGATTAAAGAATATATGTTATTAATGTTTATTGTGAGCATAACTTTCAATAAATAATGCGTAAATCACGACACTAGTAATAAAGTTGAAGCTATATTATTTTTTATGTATATTTGATAATTTCAAGTACGATTCGATAATGATCGATATTATGACACGAGTTTAAATTTTAATAAAAATAAAAATATGATCTAACAACAGGCATGATTTAAAATTTTAACAAAAATAAAAAATATGTTTTATTGATGTATTCATATAGAAATGAGTTAAAAATAAAAATTATATTTTAGGTTTGATATATTAACAAATTAAAATATAATAATTATTATATTTTGTACAAAATTTTTTAACTTTAAAGTAAGGATTTTAAAATTTTAACGAAAATAAAATTATAAATTATATTTCATATTTAATGTATTGATATGAATTATAATATGATAATTTTCATATTATAATCAAAATCTTTAAACTCTAAACTTAAATAACTTTTATATTTTATATTGAATCATTAAACCCTAAGCTTAAAATAAAGATTTTAAGATGCATTTGATACATAAAATTATGATAAGATAAGATAAATTAATATCATGAATAATATTAAATTAAATAATATTATCTTATTTTATTTTTGATACGTATAAAAATTATGATAAAATAATTTATTTATTAATTAAAATTATTTTTTAAAAAAATTATATAATTTAAATTATTGATATAATTTTTAAAAGTATAATAAAACATGTAAATTTAATCCAACAAATTAAATATAATTTTTTTTCACTTTTAAAAATTAAATCATCTTATACCAAGAGAATGATTAATCTATTTTAAAATCTTATCCCTTTATTTAAATACAAATTAAACATAATATAATGTAATTATCATCTTATCATATTCATTATTTAATATGCCAAATATGATCTTAGTATTTTGTACTAAGATTGGGAATTTTCCTTCCCATCCCCTTTTTCAGCTCTGTGTTTTTAGTTGGGCCTTTTGTCCGGTGCATTACTTTTGTATTTGGGCAAGTCCATTGGTACAAATCTAGTTGCTCGCCTTTCAGTTTCATATTCCCTTCACCCAAAACCACATGATTTTCATTTTGGAATCATCGATTTTCTACCAGTTGAGTATCAGTGAATTTAAGAATGCAATTCAACATAAATATGTAATAAATGGAAACTATCAACAACTTAAAGCCTATGTGCTAACCATTTTCTTAGGAAATCGACCTCAGTAGCATTTGCTTAGACCCTTTGCTACCTAACTTAAATCTTCACAATTCTTTTGTTTGTTTCTATTTACAAAAGTAAACATGTAAACCTAGACACTAAATGCAATGTGTGATGTGACTTGATAAGCTAAAGGATGACATGGTATAAGAGACTGGAGGGGAAACCCATTGAATTACTAATTGAGATCAATATCAACCCGCTCAGGGTTTACCCTTTCTGTCTGGTTGTTAACTAGCTCTACGCCTAGCTGACCTTTATCTCCTGCACCAAATGCGTAAAGCTTCCCTGACTTGGTGAGTGCAAATGTATGGGCATTCCAGTATATTGAGTTTGTAAGGCTGATCTGTACCACCCGTTCATTCACTTGCTTCAATGACATTACCAGTTCGGGGCTCAACACATTAGCATGCCTGTTTCCCTGCCAGACAAGCAATAAAGAAAAAATAATGATAGTTACTGGATGAATTGTTTTCCTTTTGGCCACTCAATGAATTCATATACCCCTTCCTTTCTCATGTTCAAGGACACATTGTAATATCAATGTCCAATTAAAACTAGTCTGTGCAGGAGAAAGGCAATGCCAGTTCTTCAGGACAACAGCCTAATTGATGAATGCACATCAGATGCTGTGGTTTCACTGCATCACTTCTTTTGAAATCTAGAACTTTCTTAAAGGTAACCTCTCAAACAAATGTTGCAATTTTGAAACTAACTTAAATAGTTGATAACCTTTTCATTTCAAAAATTGTTTCAGGATTCATCCTATGTGCATATCATTATTAGAAAATAGTGAAATAGTGTAAAACATAAGGTTTGAGGCTTAATCTGAGGTCAAGCATCCTGCAAACCTTTATTTGATAATTCAGGAAATTATGGACAATCTTCCCTAAAACCAAATAAGAGCAAAATTAATCACTAGAGAAAGTTAAAAGGGAAGGGAAGTTCAAACCTGTCCTTCAGCACCAGTATTATGTCCTAGGCTAGCAGATTCCCCACAACCAAAAGAGTAAACATCACCATCATCAGATACCACAAAGGTTGTATAGTCCCCTGTAGCGACATGAACTGCTTTGACCTTGCATAATGCTTCTACCACCTTAGGAACTGATTCACACTCTTCATTTCCATGACCTAAGCACCCATAACGTCCCCAACCCCATGTGCAAACCCTTCCATCCCGACCCACAACAGCGGCATGCCAAGCACCGGCAGCAACCACCATTGGCTGAAGGTTCAAAAGTTGAAATTGTTCAATTAATCGAGGGTACTTTTCATCAGTTCTTGAGCCATGTCCAAGCTTTCCACCCAAGCCACACCCGACAGAGTAAACTGACCTAAATATTCCAAAAGAAGGGCACAGCACAAAGTTATTATTCCTATAACACATTCAAATAATCAAATAATGACATATGGCTAGATATGGAACAACAAGATGGAAGGACTTCGAGGTTCCAGAGAAGTCCAATACTATTGTAATTTCATAATTCGGGCCTGTCATTCATTATTTCAAAGATTTATGATGATAAGTCATCCTAACCTTTCTCAGAGCTAATTCAGATATGATAGTTTTTCCAGAAAAAGGTAAGGAAACCGAAGTATGCTTCTGCTAGATCAAGAATTTTTTGACATAGGTAATTTAATTCATTGCCCTCTGATGTTAAAATGGTTTTTGGATTATGGTACGAACAGTTTGCATGCCAGGTTAAAAATAAATTTATGGAGCCTTTTCAAAAGGTATTCAGATGAACTAACATGCCACTTGGTTGACAAGCCAGGCAAAGAAGGTAGCAGTATCCAGCTGCAATTTGCACCACTGGTATGTTCTCCAGTGCCCCCAACAGAGGCTGGGGCTCCACATCATTTGGATCAGTCTGGTGTCCAAGCTTGCTACCTTTGCCCCAAGAGAATGTGTAAACTCTGCCCTCTCTGGATAATACAGCTGTGAAGAAGTTTCCAATTGCAGCTTGCACCACAAATATGTCTTTCAAAGACTCAACAGGCTGTGGAGTTGTAACTAGTTTAGTTCCTTGAACCCCATATTCAGCTTCGCCAAAGGAATCCTTTCCAAAGGCATAAACTCTCCCAGCATCACTAATTAGCATTGTCCTGCCAGCCCCAGCAGCACCTTGGATAATTCGAATGCCTTGCAAAAATCTACAACATAATGGAGTTCCGTTAACTCTTTGCATTTACATTTTTAAACCATCAGGCGTACACAGTGGTAAAAATATTGGCAACCTTATTTGCCGAGGCCGCCATTCTTCTTCAGTAGTGCCATGACCTAACTGTCCAGAGCTATTAGAGCCAAAAGAGTAAGCTACTCCTGTTGAAGTTATAGCAATGCTGTGACCAGGCCCTGCAATTGCCTGTGATTTCTCCCTCCTGCAACATGCTTCCCCAGCCAGCAGAAACCTCAGGACCAATTTCCACGATCCCCCACATCTTTGCTTCAAACTTTGACGTTCTTCATCAGTCATTGGCTTAAATATAGCTCTTTTCCTGCACATGTCAAGAGCAGCAAGCTCCGATATGGACAATTCATAATCAGGGGCAAAGTTTGCCGGCTGCCTAAAGAAGGAGCATGTTGCCTGGAACACATGTTTACATAATCAAATCAGCCAGTATTATCAATTCTAACATTTGAAAGGAGCCTCATGCTCAAAAAAGTTAAGAAAAAATCAACTCGCCTCTAGTTTTGCAAGATCTTGAGGGTCCAAATTACACGCGGTGAGGACATGAAGAACAATGGAAGGATTGGCAGCTAAGGGGAATTCTCCAGGAGTGGAGTCCCCAAAGCAATGACGTACTTGTCGCTGAAATGTGGGTACAGGAGCAGCAACAATAGCAGTAATTGGTTGATCGGTTATGTTATGGTATTGTATAGTAGGGTTTCCGCTTGTTGTGGCATCCATGGGCACTGCCCAAGTTTTGCAGTGCCCAAACTTGGCAAATGAGATGATCTAAATTGCTGACAATTAGGAAACATTGGGTACAATAATCACTAAAAAAAACCCTCCAATGATCCAAATTATCTCCTAAATACTAAAACTTTGTTGACTTATTAGTTCAATCTACAAGTGCCAAAAATATCTACCTTAAATAATGGATTGATCAGCAAACTTCAAGTCTCAAACCTACAATTAGAAAAGGAAAAAAGGATTCTCATAAAACTCCTTATATCACAACAAGAGAAAAGAAAATATTTTAAACCACAAACTATGTGATAATTTCACAAATCACAAACCAAAGGGTATATTTTAAACCAAGTGAGCAATGTTATCCAATAGGAGAGGCTCAGATGATCAAAACCAAATAAGTTTGCAAAGTCGGATCATCCAATGATTGGCCAAAACCAAAAAAAAAAAGAACAGGTTGGATGATCCAAATTGAGACCGGAGAGCAAAAATGGCCAAGCACAGAGACACCAAAACCACAAAAACAATGGAAGAAAAGCTCGTAGATATGGTAAAAAAGAAAACAGAAAGTTTAAACCACGAAATTTAAAGAGGAAGCACCGAAAGAAGAAAACTTTGAAGAGAAGAATACTAGTTCTCCATGAAAAGGATATTCCACAGTCAAAAGAAAACCCGGAAAGAAAAGAATTCCCCAAATAAGGAGGAGACACTCCTGTTCACGTAAACTTACTAAAAAATGTTATGTCGATCATTGACCTGATCAAAAATTAACCAGGCAAGCAAAATCAACACAAACCGTTCTAAAAACAGGGGATATAAAAAACAAAAGCATTTTTCTTCACAATAATCCATTTTTTGAGAAACCCAGGTCATCAAAACCATCAGATAATCAGAATTGACAAAGTACACTCGATCACGTAACCATCAGAAGCAGAAAAAAGAGAATCCAAAGAACAGAGCAGAATTACATGTTTAACAACTTTTTTTTTCCTTATAGTAATTCTATAATATGGTCATTACAGATCAAGTCAGAGCAACAAAGAGATGAAAATTACATATCAGAAACACCCAAGATTCCTCAAAACCCATCTGCATCTGTCAATAATTGAAGAGAATTACAACCCAAAAATAAGAAAACCGCAAAATTTAGATCAAAATTGGAAGAACAAGGAAGTGGGTGTATATCTAATCAGACACAGTCTCTGCTCTCTCTGTTTCATCTAAAGGGACTAGAAAAATGGATTGTAATTGGGATTTTAAAGAAGGAAAATCAAATAGAAAAGTAGAGAATTTATTTATTTATTATTTTTTTGAGGGATTTCTAGCTTATTGGTGTGTTAGAGGTAAGAGTTTCTCTTCTTCTCAATATCTATACATTTTTTTAAAGCGATGAGGTGTCTTTCTTACTACATTACACCCCCATAAAAATTTATGCTTTCCGAGACAAATTTACTCGTCTACTTCCTCTAAACTATGGTAACTGACTTACCACAACCTCTGGTTCAACGAAATCTTAGGTGGGTAATTTTTTTCTTTTTCTCTTAAAGATGACAAAAGAGTAAAGGAGTTATCATGAATTAAAGATCTAAATGAATCAAACTACTAGTGATAAAATTATTCATGAATTCTTCTATCACATTCACAAATCTATGGTTCCAATCGGAATACCAAGTTTGTTTATCCAATAAAGTTTATTGATAAATAGCTACTGACTTGATCATCGAAAAAAACACGCTGAAGCCAATTCCGAGGTCTCCACTCATTATTCATTTTCTGGTAGAACACTAAGTCTTCACATCAAGCTCATTATTGGTGGCATGCATTGAGTCTAGACTTTGGGTTTGATCTTCAATATCTTAGGATTTCAAGTTTGGTTTTTAAAGTAGCGTTTAGTGCACTTAATAATTCTCGTCATTATATCTTATAAAATATTATATTCGTATTATATTTTATACAAAAATTACGTATTATAATTCATGTCAATATAAAAATATAAAATATAATTTTTTAATTTTATTAAATTTATTTATAATTTTTTTAAAATTACAAATAATGTTATTTTCGTATTCTTTATTCATATTGTATTGTATCACCGAATTATCTTTCAAATCGTCAAGTCTAGCTGTTAATATCATTTTTAAGATTATTATAATAATTTAATTATCGAAATAATCTAATTATTAAGGTGATTTTATTATTCGTGATTTGAAATCACTTTATTTGATTAAAATAATTAATTTTTAGTAATAATATCACTATATTTGATATTATTAAAAATCAAATATTATTTTATTTGAAAGTATCAAAATAGATACACATTATAATAACTACAAAAATTAATGAATTTAATGTTATTTAAAGATAATAATTTGTATATAAAATATTAATATTATTTTATTTACTTCATAATAAATATAATTAAATTATTAAATTAAAACATGTTTATTTATAGTAAACTAGATTTGTAGTATAAATTATGTAAAAAAATTTTGAATTAGAAAATAAAACTAATATATTAAAATAAAAAAGATTATATTTTAAATAAATTTTAAAAAATTACACAAAATGTTTCTGAATTTGTTACAATTAATATTAATGAGAAAATATAAAAATTATAATATAAAATAATTACAATTAATTTTTTAACAAATAAAATTTTAATTCACATATTAACTGAGTAATATTGATTATTGTTAATTTTATATATTATTTAACTCTAGCGATAAAAGTTTCTTACCTCTTTAGATGGAATTTAGATCATCCTCCAAAATCATTCTCGATAATCCAAATTCATTATCACGTAAAATTATTAAGTGATCATCAAATACAATAATTTAATCATTATACATAATCATCATAATTTTTGAGTAACGATCTCGCATCAAACACTGTTTGAAACGAAAACTTTGATCCATCATGCACGATTCTGACATAGAAGTTATAGATAACATATAAATTCTATTTCTAATGCACGATTCATTAGATGTCATTTGTTTAAAGCAGGAAACAAAAGTTTTCATGATGCTACAACTTTCAGGCAAAGACAAAGAAAATGACTTACATGCGAGTAATGCATGCAGTAAATTTTTGCACGTAACAAAGACTTGTTATAACCTTGCATGCAGTAACTGCCAAAATTTTACTAGGCAGAAAAGGTAAATCATTTTCTTCTTACCTTCCCTTTCCCACTTTAGCTTCCTTGAAATGGTATTATATTAAATATTATACAAACTCTTTTACCCTTACGAAAGCAATATAAGAGTAAATGAACAAAAATTTCGTTGAATAATTCGTAAATAAGTTTAATTTTTATTACTTTATATTCGTTTATTATTTAATAAAAAATTGTAAATAATATTTTAAAATTTATTAATTAAATAAATATATTACGAATATAACAAAATTTATTTATATTTGATTGATTTATATTTCTAAAATAGAATGATTAAATTTATTTGTTATTGATTTTTAATTTAGCAAAACAAATATTGTATAAGCAGCTTCATCTTCCATTATTTGCAAGATTTTTAAAAACTTAATAAAAATAAGAAATATACTGGAACATTGTCCTCTTCTGGAAAAGCTTGCATCTTTATTTCGGAACGTACATGTTCATGCAACATGTAAAGGAGCTTAACAAATTATTAATACGGGTTTAAATTTAATCGAATTAATTTATATAGTACAATTATTTTTAAAAGGTGATGGAATCCAACAATAGAGACAGATCCAAGTGGCCGTAGGATGTTCATGAACACCTACAAATATTAAAAATCAAAAGATTTTGAATGAGATTTTTTTTATATATTATTTTCGTTGATAAAATAAATAAATATATCAACAGTTTTTATTTATTTATATATTATAAAAACTTATTAAATACTTGAAACTAAGCTTACCAATATCAATGCATTATGAGCTTTGTTTCTTGTTGAGGTTTTCAATAAAGTTTTGCAAATTAAGTTGCATCAAACAGAAAAGAAGGTTGAGGCAGACTTCATGAGCCGCATGTATGCTTAGGGTTGGTAATTTAATCCGTTTTTGACGGATTTTGATTCGATCTGATTTTATGAGATCATTTTTTTTTTGAAATTCGAATTTCGGATCGAGTTGAATAAGGTTAGAAAATAATAGGGATCGAATCAGATTCGAGTTTTAGACAAATTCGACTTGATATTATATAAAAAATTATTTTTTTATTAATTTATTAATTTTTTATTTATATATATTTATATAATAATATTTTTAAATATTTTATATTTAAAAAATAATATTTTATTAATTTCAGATCGGATCAGATTAAATACGATTTATATAATATCGGGTCGATATCGGATTCGAGTATAAAAAAATAAAAAAAATTTCAGATAAAGTCGAGTTCGAGACTAACAAAATCCACTTCGAATTCGATCCGATGCCAATCTTATGTGTGCCAGAGGACGAAATTGTTAGGTTTAAGCTCTTAAATCTTTGGAATAGTTATATGTTTGATGAGTGTTGCCTGCCCTGTCAAATAATTGTGGACAAAGCACCCATATATTGCAGCATTACAAGCAATGATTTTATTGATATTAATTATTTAAATGTCCATAAGATTGTAAATTATTAAAAAAAAAAAAAAAAAAAAAGAAAGAGTCAAAGAAGGCAATCCATTAAGTGAAGAAAAGGATTTTGTCATTTGACTATTTGTCCTGCAAACTTGAAACCGGGATCTCCCATCGTTGTTGAACACTTAAACACAGCACGGAGATGCTGCTGCATGCTGAAGAAACCCAATGTGTGAGATTTAATGATGGTTCCTTATCAAATTATTGGGGACATAGGAATTGGAGACTTTCCCAATTTCTTACAAGACATTGTCAACTTCAGTATTAAATAAGTCTAGTGTGACTGACAAGTTACCATGCTTTTTTCTTTTTTTTTCTACACGAATTACGTATAAAAAGTTTGCAATTGTGACAGTGTTTTAATAAACCCTGCAAATGAATAGGGGGACCATTACCAAACCGCAATATAATTGAATCTAAGACTTTTCTTGTCAAGCCTGTAACTTCCATGAAATTAAAAAGAGGTTTAACTAAGTTCTCATCGTATACGCCAAGGCACTCAATTTTCTTTTGATTTTCTGAGCTTCTTTATAGTCTTAAAGTCTTGTCCCGGAACGGTATCCTATGCAGCATTGGTTGATTATGGGCTGGCTGGGATTTATGTCTGAAGGAATAGATTGTGGAATGCATTTGGATAATTTCATGCCAAGTAATTATTTATAATTTTTTTAGGATTTATTAGGAAGGATGATAAATTTTATTTTTATAACATTAAAAATAATAATAAATATGAGATTAATTATTGTAATGATAAAAATAAAATTAATAATGAGATATATGTTTGAATGTAAATATAATGATAAATAATAAGATAAATTATGATGAAAAAAATGACATTAAAGAAGTTGATTAAAAATTTTATATAATAAAATTTTAAATTATTTAATGCTTATAGAATTAATAAATAATTGAAATTTTATTAAATTATTTTTAAGTTAAATAATAATTTTGCCAATAAATAATTAAAATTTATTTATTTACTAGTTTATTATATAATAATAACTTTTATTTATTAAATTAAATTAATAAAATTATTTTATAATTTTAACTAAAAAATAAAAAGGAAAAAAGTTAAGTAACGAGGATAATTATTATATTTACATCTAAATATATATTTTCATCTTTAATTTCAATTTTACTATTATAACGTCCAATCTTACATTTTGCAAGTCTTATTGCCCATATATATAGAATCGAAGACTTTTTCGGCTACTTAGGCCTTCAGCCAAGAGCGCAGAAAGCCCTCAAAGGCCGGAGTGTCAAATTTGACAAGGGCACGTGTTCAAAGGGTTTTTTTTTTTTTTTTGTTCTTGGATAACCACAACACACTGGTTAAAACATTACAATGAAAACAAATCCAAGATAGACGGCAAGTAAAAAACCAAGTTAACAGGACATCTCCTCTGTCGAGTCATCCTAGCAACGCAGTCAACTGCACAATTAGCTTCCCTACGAACATGGCAGAGCATGAAGACTGCCAACCTGCTTTGAGTACCCTTATCTCCTCTTCAATTGCCATCGTTTCCCAGCTTCCTTGCTTCAAACCAGAGTTCAAACGTCGGATAAACTCTTCATTGTCAGATTCCAGAATGACATTTCTCCATCCCCCTTTATCAATAAGAATGCAACCTAACCTTAGAACTAAGGCTTCAGTCACCAGTGCAAATTCTGCATTTACCAGTGCGTTGGTTCCATCAATAACACAGCCATTATCATCTTTGGCAATCGCGGCAATACCTACCTTTTTA